CCTCCGGTCCCGAGGCGTCGGGGCGCCCCCCAAGCGGCCTGGGCCCTTCCCGCGCCCGGAGCCCCGCGGGTGGAGCCGGAGGCCGGGGCCGGGGCCGCGCGGCCCGCGTGTAGGCCCGAGGCCCGCGCCCGCCTCGCCCGCCGCCCGGCCCGGCCTCCCGCGCGCGGCCCCGGCCCCCATGCGCCCCGCGGGCCCCGGCGGGGATGGCGGAGCCCGGCCGCGCGGCTGGAAGCGCCGGGGGGACGCCGGGCCCCGTGGCGCCGAGCTCGGGGCGCGGACAGCGGGGGCCGGGGACGCGCGGCTCCGGCGCCAGACCGAGCCCGGCGAGCCTGGAGCGCACTCAGTTTCGTTTTTCGGGTCGCCTGCGCTTCTGCGGCCCCTTCTCGGAGGGCGAGTCTGGAAAGGCTGAATTTCGGCCAATTCCCGTTGGTGGTTAGGACCGTGGACGCAGAGGGACGGGAAGCGGCACCTTAAAACCCTAAAACTGCGTGCGTCTCATTTTCATTCCAGACACGCCGGCTGCTTATTCAAGTGCTAATTGCCTTTTACAATTTACTAGAAGACGGTGAGGAGATGTGTTGATTCCCTTAGCACCCCGTCTTACTAGTCCGCTCTTTCTTTGGGAAAGTTCTAAAAAAACTTAAAGGAGTAACACATTTCCCCCTTGTTTTAAATGCGCCGTGGAAGGGCGTTTGAGGTGCTGGGCCAAGAAAATGGTCAAGTCGTTGTAAAGCTTTTTTCCTTCTCCCACCAGGCACGTGGCTCCTAAATTTCCCGACGGGCCCTGCCACTTGGACGGGGCATTGCCTGGTCCCCTCTTTGTCCGCCAGGCTCCAGCCGGCTGCGGGCCTGGTCCTGGCCCCAAGCTAGCTGTGCTCCCCTGCCTGGCCCTCCGCAGCCACAGGCTGTTCCAGACTTGCTGCGAGTCACGGGGTCTGGAAGCCCCTCTTGATCCGCTCAGGCCCCTTGACCTCGTCCCTCACAGCTGTCTGTTCACAAACAGCGCTATGCCTTGTGAATTCTGAGTGTCTTTTTCTGATGACACTTAATTTGAAAGCTGCCCCAAGGCTGAGTGAGACCAACTTCTAAACCCTTCCAGGCTCTCTGCAATTTGATTGAACAATGGGAGGTTACTCAGGTCTAGTGGGGAAGGGCCCTGGGCTCTACTGGCACAGTTCCGAGGGCCCATGTGGCTTCTGGAGACCCCGGGCAGGTGGTTTCCCTCCCCTCGCCACCCCCATGAAATGGCAGGGTAGCCCCTCGCCTAGCTGAGTGAGGATCTCCTGGGAGTCCCTGCCACGGAGCCCAGGAAGTGTTAAGCTGCTACAGCGTGGGGTTTTTTGTTTTTTCAGATCTTCAGTTTAAAATTTGAAGGCGCAGAAAAAGTAAAGAACCTTGAGGAAGGTCGAGCTTTTGTGTTGTGTCTTGAGTTAATTAATCCATAGGATGATGGCTCCCTGAGTTGGTGATGTTCATTTTGGAGCCTCCCGCAGGTTAAGAACCCTGCCAAGGTCCAATGACCAGTGAGTGTTAGGATGACCTGTTTGATCCCAGGCTGACTCCACACACTCTCCCTAAAGAGGTGGTTTTCAGTCCTTTTGACCTTGACCCCCAGTCAGAAGGACCTGTTAACATCTAGACTGCTCTGGTGTGTGCGGTTGCTCCCGTATAATTGAAACGAGAGCTTTGGGACTTGCTGCTGACCCTGAACTGTGAGCTCCGCACCGGGGTGTTTTTCTCGCCTTTCGTTTTCCGAAACCTGTCGCCCTCTGGGTCTCCAGGCTCCTCTCTGGTCACTATCACCTCTTGGAAGAATCTTGCTCTGTTGTGGGCCTCTGCATTGTGGCGTGGTGGGGAGAGGGCCTCGTGATTCGCAGATAAACCTGCCCTGGAGTTGGCCAGCTTTGGTTGAAAAAATAAATGGGTCTCGTTCTTAGCTAATGGCTTGATGGGAATGAGCCCAAATTTCAGGCCCTGTGAGTGTGCTGTGATTACAAGGCTGTGTGCATTCAGATTTATTCTACACACTAAGGCTTGTAATTTGGCGTAAAAGGAACTTTTGGAGTGCTGTCTTCAATGAAACGGTTTTGAATGCTATATTTCTTAATTTAGACTAATGAAAAGATGTTCATTGGGGATTGTAGAAAAATCACAGATCGTTTTGCTACTCCCAAGTTTAATATGCTCATTAAGCAACTTACTAAGTATATTAATTCAAAAGGTAGAGATCAAAATGCGTATATGTTGTGCTCACGATAAATGCTATTACTGTGGTGCCCTGGGGTTTGGTGTGTTACCACTTCTTACTTTTTTAACTGTTTGCAAGACTTAACGGTTCATGTGGGTTTTCCAGTGACCCTGAACCTTTCCAGATGACCAGATTAGTTTGTTGTTGTTGAACAACTCAAAGATCTTGAACTAAGTCTGTGGGACCCTAGTCTAAGAGGGCTGTTTCTTTGGTTTTATAGTCCTCAAGCTACTGTTTGTTACAGTGCCCAGGGCATTGCTACAAAGTAACTTTTGTGACCTAGAAGTCTTGTTTGAGAGGTGTCTACCCCAACCGTGCCTCGGAGAATAACCAGTGCCGCTGGGCTCCTCCTGTGCCCCGCGCCTCTCCCCACCCCCACTGTCAGTGACGCTATCCTGGTCCCTGGTGATGGTGCGCGTTTGCTATCCAGTGGCTGTCCCTATGCTCTGGTCAGGCTGCCGCAGGCTGGACTGCACGGATGTGTTACAAACTTGGAAGAAATCTGTAAATGAGTGTGCACAACACAGGAAAACAACACAGAAAAGCTTCAAGTCTTCAAACCTTTGGTGTTCAGAAGCAGAGTATCATTTCCCGTTACCTGTGAGTTTCAGTGTCCAAACTTGGAACGATGTCAGGCCGGTTTATTCTTTGTAATGAGTGTTACCTGTTTCTGGTAAAATATGTTGTTGTTTCATGAATCGTTACTGTGGATGTTCACAATGTAACACTTGAGTTTTGTTTTGTTTTTAATAGTTTCTCTTGTGAAATAGTTTGAGCGCTGTTAAGACTCTCCCGTTTTTCTGTCACCAAGCCTCAGCGACTGTCAGGACGATCTGGGCTGGCTTCAGATGTTTGCCCCCTTTTCCCTTTTGCTTTGTGAGTATACTTGAAGGCCAGTTCCAGTTCTGTCATTTCACCCCAAATACTTCATCTGGTGCCTAAAGAACAGGGTCCACCCAGACCCGTTTTCACAACAGGCCGTAGTCAGGTTCCCCCGTTATCTCCGGAGCGTGTTTACAGCGGGTGGTGTTGGGTCGTGGGTTTTAATAGAAGTTGACACATAAATTTGGTTTGGTGTCTTTTGGGGCCCTTTAATCTGGACTCTAACGCCAGCACCCCTCCCCCGCCAGTCCCCCTGCTGTGGTCTTGCTGGAGACACTTAGTCTGTAAAAGCCCCCCTCCCCTGTTTTCTGAAAAGAACCCTGTTCTCCAGGATCCCTCTGTTTTGCTGAGTAAGGCTGGTTGGAGACCCATTTGCCTGTGGTTTTAATTCTGATACATCTATCATCTATCTTAAGTAGTGTTTGTCGACAGACCCCTTTGCATCTGGAATCTTCCGTGGCAGGAGAATCCTGTCTGCCGTGGTGCTCTGAGCGGAAGGCGCGTTTCGGGATGTATAGAAAACACGGGTGGTACTTGGGAGGCGCGTGCGTTTGTCTCTGCGTTTTTAGAGAAGATGGGGATGTCTCTTCCCCAGGGGTGGGGGGACTCTGCCGGGTAAGGTGGGGGAGCCGGACCCTCCTCAGTCACCTCTGTCCATGCTTGTTCTGACTGTTGCCCTAAACTTCACCGGCTCTCCCCCTAACTTTGTCACCTCGTTCTCTGTGGGTGACCCCGAGTGTGGCGCCATGGCCGTGGGCATGCTAGCCAGTTAAAATACCACTAAGTTATACTCTTCTAATTTTTTTTCCTTGCTTTTCTCAAAGTTTAAAAACCTGAAACCACTGATTCGTCTCTGGGGGCTTACTCTTCGTGACCAAACACCTATACCGTCCTGATTTATCTTTCAACGGAGCTGTACCCTAGGTGACCAGTTCATTGTCTACACTGGAAATCTTCAAGTGAATGGGGGAGGGGGGGCTCCTAATTACTCCCCCGAGACAACAGGCACACACCAGGGCTGGGCGCACACAATGGATGTCTCCCTGCCTCAGAGCGTTTCTAACATCTTGGGCTCACAAATGAAGGGCTTAAACATTTTATTTATTTTAAAGATCTACACGCAACGTGGGGCTCGAACTCATGACCCTGAGATCAAGAGTCCACAGGCTCCACCAACTGAGCCAGCCAGGTGCCCCTGGGCTCACTCATTTTAAAACTTGTTTCACTCTTCAGTGGCTTTGCTCTTACTGAAATCCTCAGGTCTGAAGGATGCGAGCCTGGTCTTTTTTTTTTTATTTATTTATTTGACAGGGAGAGATCACAAGCAGGCAGAGCAACAGGCAGAGAGGGGGGTGAAGCAGACTC